TAAGGACTGGAGGAGCACACCCCAAGCCAAAGACACAATTCCTACTCAAAATTCCTCAATATCTCCCTGTAAAGGGGTTGGTGGGGACTGGACACAATTCCTGTACACAATTTTGAAATATCTCCCTGAAGAGAGACTGCTGAGGGAGTGGAGGAGCTCATCCCGAGCCAAGGACACAATTCCTGCACAGAATTCCTAAATATCTCCCTGCAGAGGCTGCTGAGGAGCCCGAGCTGACGCCTGCCCAGGCCAGCTCCCATCAATGGTGAATAAAGGGCTCTGGTCCCACCAGCCCGTGCCAGCAGAGACTCTCCAGAGCTGAATCAACATTTGCCTCAGCAGGGGATTTTCAGCTGCTCCATTTAAATGCTGAGTTTTCTTTTTCATTTGGATGCTTAACTCATAAAAACTGAATTTATTTGGGTTGGGTGCCGATGCCTGCAAGCACAGCTGCTCGCCAGCTCTCTCTGCTTGCTATGGAAATGCATGAGAAGAGCATTTAAAAGCCTTTTCCAACCTGCCCAGCACTGGGATTTGGGTTTTCTTCCTCTCTTACTGCTGTGCTGATGCACGCAGGGTGCCCCAAAGCCCAGCACCCTCCCAGAGAGGAGCTGTGGAAAAAGACCTCATTCCCTGCTTTGTAGAGAACTCTGGAGATGGGAAATCTGCTCCCAAAGAGTGCAGGGGCAGAAATAAACCCAGGGCGGGCAAAATAAACCCGGGGGGGCTGTAGGGGCAGAAATAAACCCAGAAGGGCTGTAGGGGCAGAAATAAATCCAGAGTGGGCAGAAATAAACCCAGAAGGGCTGTAGGGGCAGAAATAAATCCAGAGTGGGCAGAAATAAAGCCAGGGCATAGGGGAGAAATAAACCCAGGGTGGGCATAGGGGCAGAAATAAATCCAAAGTGGGCAAAAATGAACCCAGGGGGGCCATAAGGGCAGAAGTAAATTCAGAGTGGGCAGAAATAAACCCAGGGTGGGCAGAAATAAACCCAGGGCTTAGGGCAGAAATAAATCCAGGGTGGGCATAGGGGCAGAAATCAATCCAGGGTGGCCATAAGGGCAGAAATAAACCCAGGGGGGCTGTAGGGGCAGAAATAAACCCAGGGTGGGCTGCAGGCTGAGGGCAGCTGAGCTGGACCTGCCCAGGAAAAGCAGTAGCTTCAGGAGCAGAGCCAGGTGCTCCAGGATGTGGTACCTGGGGTTATCACCTAGAGGCAGGTGCCTGTCCCTGGATCCAGAATGGTTTCAGCATTCCCAGACTGTCTGAAGAGGTAAAACAGGAGGTAACACCTCAGTCCCTGTTCTCTCCCCTGCTGCTGCCACAGGAGGGTTTGGTGATCCTGAAGCCAGGCACACCCACGGAGGGGGACTTTGGCTCCATGGGAGTGCCATCAGATCCTCGGGAAGGGGCTGCAGGCTCAGGGAGCTGCTCCTTGGTCAGCATCTGCAGGTGTGGCCAGCAGGAGCAGCTGGGATGTGCTGCTGGGGGAGCCAGGGCACAGCAGCTTCACCCTGAGCTTGCCCAGCCAGGTCTGAGGCAGCCCTGGGAGAGCTTGTTATGTGTAGGAGATATAATTAGTGCCATTTCTAGTATGATATATGTGATATTGAATATTTGTTGGAGTATACATGTTTGTATTAGGACTCCCCCGACCCTCGCAGGAGAACCTGGTGTATGTTAAACCCGATTTACGAGTAAAAGGATGTGGCTCGGCCAGGAGATGGGAGATGGGCCATGGCTGGAGAGATGGGGACACCCAGGCACTGATCATCGCATGAGCAACCTGAGATGGAAATCATGGAAAATCCTCGGACAGATCCATGTGAATGCAGCGTTCCCGTAAATTTCATCAAGGGATTCACCAACTCCGGACACTGATTTGTTCTTCTTCATCACCAAAATAGAAAATCTTATTAACCTATGGACTCTAAATAGAAGAAAAGCCTGACTGCTGAAATCTTGGCCTCAGGTGGAATTTTCCCTATAAAAACCGCTGGTGCCAGGATGGAGGTGTGGACATAGAGGAAAACCTCTGCTGAAGCTGACTTCTGGTGCCAACCCCGGGCTCGGCTCTGTTCTTTCCTTGTGTCTGGCTAGATAGAATTGGATTGCAAATATATTTTTTATTTTTTCATTTTAATTTGGCTGGACAAATTTTCATTTATAACAAGATGAACTGGAATTTCGCTGCTCCCTGTCTGTAATCCCTGGATTTTGCTCTCACTGTTGGGTTACTCAGCTTAAACACCGTGTTCCACGCTGAGCTGTGTGAGCAGGCAGCTCCAGAATTTCCCCAGTGCTGGGAAATTCATTCACACAAGCTGGGTTTTGAGCCATTTTCACTTCAGACACGCTCAGACTGTGGATCCAGCCCTTTAATCCATATTCCCCTAGCTGCTTTTATGCTTGTTTTGGGCAGAAATGAACACGTGTAAAAGCAAACTTAATCTGGGTATTCCCATTGCTGCTCTCTCCTTCTGGAGCAGATGGCAGGAACAGACTCTGCTCCCCACAAAACTTCATTTGCAGGAATTCTGCCTAAAGACCCTCCCGGGAGCTCTGACTGGGATTCCTGTGCTGTCCCACACCACAGATAAATAAGAAAATAATGGGATTAGCACAGAGAGGCACCACTGGCCCCAAATAACCAAACTCTGACAGCATTCCTGAAGTTCTACACCTGGAACAACCAAACTCTAACAGTGTGGCTGAAGTTCTGCAGCTGGAATTACCAAATTTTGACAGCATTCCTTAAGTTCTACACCCAGAATAATTAAACTCTGGCAGCGTTCCTGAAGCTCTGCACCTGGAATAACCAAACTCTGATAGCGTTCCTGAATTTCTGTGCTTGGAATAAGCAAATTCCAAATGCATTCCTGAAGCTCTGCACCTGGAATAACCAAACTCCAACAGCATTCCTGAAGCTCTGCACTTGGAATAACCAAACTCTGACAGTGTTTCTGAAGTTCTGCACCTGGAATAACCAAACTGACAGTATTCCTGAAGCTTTATACTTGGAATAACCAAACTCTGACAGCATTCCTTAAGTTCTGCACCCAGAATAACTAAACTCCTGACAGGGTTCCTGAAGTTCTGCACCTGGAATCACCAAACTACAATTGCATTCCTGAAGTGCTCTGCTTGGAATAACCAAACTCTGACAGCATTCCTGAAGTTCTGGACCTGGAATAACCAAACCCTCCCCAAGGGAGGGGCTCTGGCAGGAGCAGGGATGGGCTGGAGCCTCCTTCCCCCTTGTTTCCAGTTCTCTTTGGGTGGAAGAAACACAGTGCCCCAGTCAGCATCTCTGAAACACCAGACGAGTCCTTTGTCCCCAGTTATTTCCAGCCTTATGTTTCCATCCAGGGCTGCATCCAAACTCTAATGAAATCAATTCTTGGCTCAGAACCAGGGATTCGCTGCCAGCTCCGGGGTTTGAAACCCTGGGCACAGCTCAGCACCCACGGAACAATCGCTGAGGAAGCCTTTGTGGCTGCTGTTCCCCAGCCTGTGTTAATCAGGGCAGGCTGTCCTTTAACTTGGAAATAAAGCTGAGTTTATCCCCCCAGCCCAGAGCCAGGCCTGCTTTAATGGGTTTAACCCACTTTCTAAAGACACTGAATTATTCCAGCAGACTCTTTACCTTGATGAGCCCAGAATTAGCCCAAGCCTTTATGGGACATTTTATTGGCCAAAGCAAATCTGACCTGGTGAGATTTACCAGCTTTATTAGCAGCAATAACAATTTTACTGTCAACAGCAGTAAATCAGGGTTCATTGGGAACTCCACCACTTTTATCTGGAGCAAGCAATTAAAATGTCAGGTTTTCATTAGACATAATTCCTACCTTCCACAGAAGACAGACGCCCTGTTTAATTGGGGAATGTAAAACTGCCAGCTCAAAGAAATCTAAAATTCTCCGTAAAATTCAGTCAGATCAAGGGTGTTTGGGGAGCCACACCTGTGGAGGTTTATTTTGTCTACAAACCAGATCCGTTTTCCAGAGCACACATTCAGCAATGCTGGCAATTCCCCGCAATGCAACACCAATTTTCCTGGTAACAAGCGAAAATGCCACCGAGCTGAGGAGAAGGTCGGAGCAGAGATTGGACTGACAGAGCAAAGCACACCAGAAACCTGGATACAAACCCAACCACTCACTGAACCCATCTCGGCCTCATTTTCCTCTCCTTCAGCACTTCTGCCTCACTGATGGTGTCTCTGCATTCCTCCTCTTTATTTCCAGGGACATCTGCTCCAATCCCTTCTCATTAACTAAAAGCACGCATTTCTCTGGGGTTTATTTTCCTTTTCTTCCTTCAGTTATTACCAACCCCAGCCACGCTGGGGATAAGGGGCAAAACCAACTCCTGAGTGATCCAGCTGCTCCCATTCCCCAGAAGGTGTTGGAGAGAACTGCAGGGTGCAATTAAAAATTCAACATTTCCTTGGGTTTTAAAGCCCCTGCAGCGGATTTTTAAACACGATCCACTTCGAACCTCTCCCTCCAAGAGCAGCCTGGTTATTGCCATTTTAAGGCATCCCCGTGGTTTTCCTGTTAAGATCCAGCTCTCATCAGCAAAAAGCCTGTTTAAAGCAAAGCCAAACCCCACCAAATTATTACTTGCAGCAGATTTTCTCTCCCCAGCAACCATTTATCATAATATTTTTAGGTTTGCCTTTTACTTTGTCTTGTTTTTCGAGGAGAAAAGTAATTCCTGGGAAAATGTGCAACAATCTGCTTTCAGTTTGAAAGCACAGGACTTGAAAATTGTCTGAAAACCAGGATTTCTCAGCAAACAGCCCAGAATGTGAATAAAAACCACACTTCTGGAAACCTAGCAAATAAAAAAAGGACACTTGAAGCGTTCTGGGGGAGAAGAGAACCAGGACCAACACTTCCAGCACCACACAGGAGCTGAGCCCTGTGCTTCCCCCATCCTTCCCCCATCCCAAAGCTGTTTTTTATGCCCCTGTGCCCACCCCAAACCTCACCTCGGCCGCGGGGACGCCCTCGGGGGGCCGGCAGTGCAGGACAATCATCCCCTCGATGGGAACCTCCTTGCCCTGGGGGTCTTGCTCGAAGTTCTTCCGTAGATCTGCAGGGTTGGAGGAAAGAATTCATAGGATTGGCATTCCTTGGATGCAAGAATTCACCAGCACTGGCATTCCTTGGATGCAAGAATTCACCAGCACTGGCATTCCTGCCCCCAAGCTGCAGGGGCTGCAGGGTGAGTGACCCCAGCACTCCCAGAGCTCCAGGCCAGCCCGGATCCCCGATCCCATCACCTTCAGCTGTGTTCCCACTTCTCCCCTCTCCAAACCCACCCATGTTTGACACAAGCAAGGCCAGAACCCCCAGGCCCCAGCCCTCCACCCCATCTCCAGGACCTCCCCAGAGTTTGGAGTTCCACATGGAGTCCCCAGGGCACTGTGGGTGAATTCCGGGGGCTGGAATTGAATTGGATCCAGCCCTGCTCAGAGCAGTGTCTGATACCCTGATTTGTGCAGATCTCACCCTGAGAGCTGCAGGGAGAAGGAGAAAGGGGCTGGGAGCAATTCACAGAATCCCAAAATGGGCCAGGTCAGAAAAGGGCTTTGAGATCATCAAGTCCAACCTGTGACCTTGCTCCACCCCAGCCACCCTGTCCAGGTGATAACTGAGGTTTAGAAATGTCTCAGAGCTGCTGCAGCATCTGAGGGTGTCTGGGCAGGCAGAACAGACACAAAGGGAACCTGGATCCAGCCGGGATCCCTGGATCCAGCCACGCCCAGGAATCCCTGGAGCTCCCTGGCAAAGCAAACCCTCAGGGATGTCCCTTCCTGCACATCCTGATGTTCCACCAGGAGCTCTCCTCGCATTCCCAGTGGCCCCACGGTGGGGATTTACTGACTTCATTCCCTGCCTCGCTCACAGCTGATGAAATACAGCCCTGGCACCGCATTTTCCAAAATGCATTCGGAATTATCTGAGCAAGCTGCTGCCTGCAGAAAGATGCTCACAGTGCCTGCATGCTCCTTTCCATGATTCTTTGTTAATGTTGATTTTTTCCCCCCTCAGACAACCGATTTCTTTTCCAGTGCTCTCTTTAAGAAGGCATTCATTAACAGCCGGGCTGCGCTTGTGCCTACAAATGCCTTTATTAGGGTGAAAAATGGAGCAGGATCCCTTTGCTCTGCCTTCCCACTATCACAAAGAAATACTCACCTGCTTCTTTGGAGAAATATAAAGTGCTGCAACACTGTGGACTTGACTAACAATTCAGAAACATCAGGATTTCAGTGCAAAATAAAAAAAAAAAAAAAGGATGAAATAAAGCCACCGGTTCCTCTGTGCCCATCCCAGAGGGCCTGGGAGAGTGTTCTGGGTTCTGCCAGAGACTGAACCTGCAGGGTCTCATCCCTGACCCTCCCGGGGTGTTCCCCCAGCCATAGATCCCAGCCCGGGCTGTTCCTGCCGTGCCTGGGCAGTCCCTTCAGCTCTGCCCTCCAGAATTGCTGCTTTTGCCATCATACCACTCGGCTTTGAGCAGAAACAGCCCAGGAAGGGGCAGAGAGGAGCTCGTTTCCCACACAAAGCTTCCAGACCCCCAGGACCCCCCAGACCGAGCTGAGAAGCCTCTCCAGGGCGCTCTGGGGTTAATGGGGTCTCGGGGCACGGGGATGAAGAGCTGTTCCCACAGTGAGGGGCTGAAAAGCCCCAGCACACGGCTCCTCCTGCTCCTGCTCACGCTGAGCCTGGCTCAAATTGCCATTTTGTGGGGCTGGGAAATCACAGCGTGGAGAAAAGTCAATAAAAATTCAATTCAGATAAAGGTCCTTTCAGCTCGGCAATGCAGGGGAATTATTGGCTCAGTGTTATGACAGTTAATGCAGTGAAATAAAAAATTGAATTTACACGTATTTAGACATTCAGACTGAATCAGCCAACAAAAAAATCCACCATTGATGAAACGAAGGTTTTCTTACACTGTCCTTTTACTTCTGACAAATGTTTGGTTTAGCCTGTTAAATGTTTACCCTGGTAAAAGACACCTTTTTATATTGTCAGGAGCTGCTGGAACACTTCTGGAAAGTCTCCCTTCAGGTTCTCCCTTTGCTCCTGCCCTCCTCTCCCAGGGAATGCTTCTCCCAGCTTTTTGCAGGCTGCACCTCCTTTCCCAGGAGAGGAAAGGGAAGATCTGAGCTGGGGGCTGAAAGGAAAAGGGCTCAGGGCAGTGGGGGAAGCAATCCCTGAATTCTCCGCTGGCAGGGGCGGTGCCAGGCTCTGGTTCTGCCAGGAAAACATCCCAGGTCTGATTCCAGGAATGGGATGAGGCTTGGAGCAGCTCCTGGGGACAGCTGGGTTTGGGGTCGTGTCTCTGGTTTCCCTCTGGCTCTGGGGGTTTGGGACATTTCCCTTTTTGCAGCTCCCAGTGACAGTTTTGTGCCTGGGGTTGTGTCCCTGCTGTCCCTCTGGCTCTGGGGCATTGGGACATTTCCCTTTTTGCAGCTCCCAGTGACAGTTTTGTGCCTGGGGTTGTGTCCCCACTGTTCTTCTGGCTCTGAGCCATTTGGGACATTTCTCCTTTTTTAGTGACAGTTTTGTGTTCGGGGCTGTGTCCCGACTGTCCCTCTGGCTCTGGGGCATTTGGGACATTTCCCTTCTTGCAGCTCCTAGTGACAGTTTTGTATTTGGGGCTGTCCCCCTGGCTGTGGGGCATTTGGGACATTTCTCTTTTTGCAGCTCCCAGTGACAATTTTGTGTCTGGGGTTGTGTCCCCACTGTTCTGGCTCTGAGCCATTTGGGACATTCCCCCCTTTTTAGTGACAGTTTTGTGTTTGGAGCTGTGTCCCTGCTGTCCCTCTGGCTCTGGGGCATTTGGGACATTTCTCCTTTTTTAGTGACAGTTTTGTGTTCGGGGCTGTGTCCCGACTGTCCCTCTGGCTCTGGGGCATTTGGGACATTTCCCTTCTTGCAGCTCCTAGTGACAGTTTTGTATTTGGGGCTGTCCCCCTGGCTGTGGGGCATTTGGGACATTTCCCTTTTTGCAGCTCCCAGTGACAGTTTTGTGCCTGGGGTTGTGTCCCCACTGTTCTTCTGGCTCTGAGCCATTTGGGACATTCCCCCCTTTTTAGTGACAGTTTTGTGTTTGGAGCTGTGTCCCTGCTGTCCCTCTGGCTCTGGGGCATTTGGGACATTTCTCCTTTTTTAGTGACAGTTTTGTGTTCAGGGCTGTGTCCCGACTGTCCCTCTGGCTCTGGGGCATTTGGGACATTTCCCCCTTTTTAGTGACAGTTTTGTATTTGGGGCTGTCCCCCTGGCTGTGGGGCATTTCTCTTTTTGCAGCTCCCAGTGACAATTTTGTGTCTGGGGTTGTGTCCCCACTGTTCTGGCTCTGAACCATTTGGGACATTCCCCCCTTTTTAGTGACATTTTTGTGTCTGGGGCTGTGTCCCTGCTGTCCCTCTGGCTCTGGGGGACTGGGACATTTCCCCTTTCTGCAGCTCCAGCAGGGTCTGTGGGTGGTGAGTGATGACCCCACAGCACATCAAGGACATGAGAGAGGAAGATCATCCCGCACCTTCCCTAAAAGTGTCCATGGAGAGCAGCTCCATCGGTTGTTCCCTGCCAAGGCCAGCTCAGGCCCTGCAGGATTCCCTCAGCTCTCTTGGGAGGGCTCCATCCCGAGAAAGGAGGGAAGGTATTTTTTCCTCTGTGACACCTGTGGTTTCTGGGCTGTTCCTGCAGGGGCAGAGGTGCCTGGCCACATCCACTGGTCCTGAACCCCAAACCCGCCCCTGGAAGCCACAGAAGAGCAGGATTTACTCACAAGCGATGCGCACCGATGCCTTCCTGCTCTTGGAGGTGCCCAGGTGGCTCCAGGCCACGCACTGGCACCAGTAATCCTCGGGGCCGTGGAAATCCTCCACCTGCTGCCGCGTCACGTTGATGGAAACCTCCCGCACCTTCAGCCCTGAGAGGGAGAGGCAGAGAGTCAGCAGGGACAGGCAGCGGGGCCCAAACCTGTCCTTTAATCAACACTGCCCTTTCCAATCAGGGCAAAGCCGTAATTACTCGCACAATAACGTTGTGCCACTAATTAAATTCTGTAAGACGAGCGGGCTGTAACGCACTGAGTTCCAGGAATTTTCCCCACCGTGATCTTTGCAACTCCTCCCTCAGAATCCTCATCCCTGGTGCCTCCTCCACCCAGGGTGTTTGTCTGCAGTTCAGTCATGTGCAATAAAAATGTCTTTAAAGGACATCTCCATGCCCTGCACAGCTCCCTCAAGCACAGGGGGAGATGAGCACATGGCCCCTCACACCAGGAGCTTTTCCCCCCGACAGAGCCCAAAGGTAAATTCCAGACTCCAGGATCCTCCCACACCTTTCCTGTGGCACCCCCGGGATGTTCCCCAGACCTGCAGCCACCTCGGCATGGCAGCCTTGGGAGAGGAAATCCAATCCAAAGCCAGCGCTGGGAACCATTCGAAAGAGTCAGAGAAACATTAAATGAAAACAGAAAACATTCAGGCCTTGCTCTTCCTCCCCTCTCCTCCAGCACAGTCCCCAGGCAGTTATTTCCCCTCCACTGGAAATGGAGGCAAACCCAATCTCACCGTATTTCATGCCTGTGGAGTTTATAAAGCAGCAGGAATTCTAAACCTGAACTCCATAAAAATTGGCTTCCACTTAATCTCAGGCATCATTAACAGCTGGGCAGGCACTCCTCAAAGGCACTGGGAAGTCACTGTGCTCCTCGGGCAAGAGGAGGGACGGGGTTCACTGGGGATGCTCCGAGAGGGAAGCTCAGACAAGCTTTAAATCCTGTACAAAAATACAGGATATTTGATACTTTTCCAGCAAAAGGAAAAGGGGATTTTTACTTCTTTTCATTAAGCCTGGCTTACAATGAAATCCAAAGACAGGGACAAACCCTTGACAGCTCCCCAAGTTGTCTCAAGAACCCCTTCAATCCCTCAAATATTTATTCCTGTGCAACAAACAAACACAGATTTTCTGGCTGCTTTTTTTTTTTTTTCCCCATGTTGATGCCATTTTTAACAAAACTGTTTACAAAGCCTCCCTTTATTTCCTGACACGGAGACAACAAACCCTGAGGAACAAAGGCTCTGCCAGAGACCCTGCCAGGAAAATGCACCCCCTGAATGAAACCATCCCTGCTCTGCCAGCCAAAAATCCTTGGGTTCTGGCATGAAAACGGTTTGCCAAGTGATGTGCAGAGGTTTAAGGTAAGAGAAGCTCCAGGGAGCTCCCTCAGAGGGGACTGGAGTGCTGGAGACAGAGCAGGGCTGCCCTGGCTGGGGGTTTGGGATCCCATTCCCAGCAGGAGCAGCTTCCCGGGGGAAAACCCTCCCTCTGGATTATCCAGAGCTGACCCCACTCACACTCCCAGCTCCTGCTCCCGTCACTCCTGAGCTGCTCTGGGGATTTTGGGAAGCAGCAAAGAGAGGCAGAGGTGTGGGAGCTGCCCCAGCACAGCCTCTGCTCGCAACGACAGCATTTTGATACCAAACAAAAAAAAAGTCATCACTTGATGATGAATTTTGGAGAAGCTGATGCCATTTCTTGGCTCCTGGGTGCTGCAAATTTCTGAGCAGGCGTCAGTGAATTCAGGCATTTACAGCTCCAGATTTATTAAGGTGGAATAGTCTCCAGCCCAGCTCTTCCTTTCATTGACACGGCGTTTAATTAATCTATAAATCAGCCTGTATTTAGTGTGGCAAACAAAGAGCACACGGTTTGGGGAAGCTGGTGGTTCAGCGTTTTGAGAATGGGCCAGGTAGGAATTCAGGTCCTCTTTAAGGTCTCCCAGTTCACCCATAGACCAAATAAATGTATCCAAAACTGCAGAATCTCAGAATTGCTGGGGTTGGACGGGACCTCTGGAGAACACGGGGTCTTTGGGGGAAGTTGTGCTTTGTTTATGGAGGAAGTACAGCGATTTCCATTTGTTCTAGGAGCAACGACAGAAAGCAAACCTATTGGGAGGAGAGGAATATTCTCCATTTATCACCCCCGTATTTCAGCAGCAAACACATCCACCTCCCCTCTGCACCTCGGGAAGCACCGGGAAAATCCTTCACGGGGAGTGACACCGGGTGAAAAATCCCTGCAAATCAAAGCAGGCACCTCATAAAGCACAGCGACATTTTACCTGCGACTCCAATAACTCCAATAAGCACCGCGAGCCCAACCCTTTAAATTATTGTGCAAATTAGAACCATCATCTTTTGTTTTACAGTAGAGCCGTGCAGAATATCAAGTGCTGGCTGTGGCACTGAAATGCTAATGGGCTCTGCTGGATGCTCGAGCTGCACAGACCCTGGCAGCAGATGAATAATTGCTCTCCGTGTACTAAACACAACGGAGCTGCAGAGAACTTCGGCATTTGTCAGCTTTATTTGTTTAAATGAGAAAAACACTGACAGCAGTTATTGCTGTAATCCTTCCAGTTATCAGACAAGGAAACTCTGCGAGTGGGGCTGAGCCTCTGCTGAACCCCGGCCTGAAACAGCCAGGCAGGTTCTGGAGCGTGCAGGAAATGCAGCAGAGGGAAATTAATCAGCCCCTAATTGCCACACTTTTATCACAGCAGCATCCACGAGCTCGGCTCTCCCTTGATGAGGCAGAGCACAGAGAGAACCAAGTCCCTGCTCTGCCACGCTTGGGAATAAACAGGAAAAGTGGAGGCAGAGCAGCAAAACCTCCACGGGGACACTCCAGGCAAAGCCTTCCAGACATCACCAGGCAGCAGCAGCATCCTGCAAAACCCTCTCTGTCCTGCTGCTCCTCCTCACAGACACTCCTGGGCTACTCTGAGGCCTTTATTCCTCTCCTGTGAAACCAAAATCATGGAAAACTGGGCTCTGGGCCCGTCATGGTGACAAAGCCCACCCGAGGGGAGTCCCTGTCTCGGGACACTGAGTGCCACTGCAGCCCCTCTGCCAGGAGCTGCCACGGGAGCTCAGCCACGTTTCCCCCCCTCAGCACCAAACTCAGCCTGGGCTCTGCCAGGAGCTGCCACGGGAGCTCAGCCACATTTCCCCCCCTCAGCACCAAACTCAGCTTGGGCACTGCCAGGAGCTGCCACGGGAGCTCAGCCACATTTCCCCCCCTCAGCACCAAACCCAGCCTGGGCACTGCCAGGAGCTGCCACGGGAGCTCAGCCACGTTCCCCCACTCAGCACCAAACCTCCTCCAGCCTGGGCTCTGCTTGCTGTTTTACACACTTCTCCACAACCTCTGGGGATTTTGATCCCACACAATCAGTGGAAGGGTGCAGAGGGTCAGACCCTTTCAGTGCACCACGAATCCTCTTTAACAAAAGCCCCACTTTTGGCCCAAATCCCAGAGCAGTTTCTCCCAGCTGGAGCAGACCAGGCTGTGCCTGGGGACAGACTCGGCCGTGCCCCAGACTGGGCTCCAGGAACGAGGGCACTGCACGTGAGTGCCAAAACCCCAACAGCTGCTGCTCCCCCGAGGCTGAGCAAGAGTTCCAGATAATTCCTGGCTATGGGTAGGATCACGGTGAGAGAATTCCCCTCAGTGCTGCCTCTCTCTGCATTTCTGTGCCCTGGGGACCATTCTGGGAACACCTGGACTCTGCCCTGCAGTGGGTTTGGGGTCCAGGCCTTTGGGGAGTCTGCACCCCTGGCTAAGCCCAGCCCTGCAGAATTGCTGTGGTCAGGGCGGCTGGCCCAGGGGCTGGAACCAGATCAATTTTCTCCCAACCCAAACCATTCCACGATCCCAAAACTGTTGCTCCATGTCTCAAACCTCAACATTACCGATGTCATTTAAACCCCACCTGGCGTTACCAATCTTGGTTTGTTCAGTTATTAACCCAAAGCTTAGAAAACATAATTGCAGCGCTCACAGAGAGATTTTCTGTAACCATATGGAAGGAAAGCTTTTAGGGACGACATTTCTCCCATATTGATTCAGCAGTGCCTTTAGAAGTAAAGGTTATGCCTATTAAATTATTTCTGAAAAGGTAACTGCAAAAATTAAAATTCATTCAGATTAGCATTTACAAAAAAAAACCCCTCTAATATGAAACTTCTTCAGAATGTGTCACTTCAAAAGAATGCCAAGCACTACTTTAAGAGGTGTAACTTCTTTTTAAATGGCATTTTTGCCTCTAAAAAAGGAATTTCTTGTGTTGCTGGAGAAGGTGTTGTACACAGAGCGCTGCTGCCAAGGCTGGGGGTTGCCTAGCAATGCTGGGAGGGGAGAGGGGAAAAAGCAATAACAACCAGAATTGTGGAGCCACAGCATTAAATTGGTCTGCAATACTTATCAGCTAAATGAGAGAAGCTACAGGCTCTGCTCCGAGCTGATAAAATCTCCTGATCACTCCAAATCTCTCCCTTCTCCTTCTCGTCTCTTCCACACATGCTGGGCACTGTGGATTTCTCCTGCTCGGGTTTTTCCCACCCCAATTCCTGCCCTGGCTGGGGCTGGGGGCAAACCCCAGGGTCCAACCCAGCAGGAATCCCATAAAAATTTGGACTGGTGGGGAACCACAAGGTCCAACCCATCAGGAATTAAATAAAAACTGAGGCTGGGGCAAACCCCGGGGTCCAACCCAGCAGGAATCCCTTAAAAACTGGGATTGGGGGGAAACCCCAGAGCCCAACCCAGCAAGAAAGGAAAGGGACTGGGGGAGACTCCCAGCATCCAATCCATCAGGAATTCCATAAAAATTGGAGGATTTCCACAGCAATCCCATAAAAACCGGGACTGGGGGGGCACCCCAGGGTCCAAACCACCAGGAATCCCACAAAAACTGAACCTGGGGGGGAATCACAGAGTCCAGTCCAGCAGGAATTCCATAAAAATTGGAGGATTTCCACAGTAATCCCATAAAAACTGGGACTGTGGGCAAACCCCAGGGTTCAACCCAGAAGGAATCCCACAAAAACTGAACCTGGGGGCAAAACCCAGGGTCCAAGCCAGCAGGAACCCCACAAAAACTGAACCTGGGGGCAAACCCCAGGGTCCACCCCAGCAGGAACCCCACAAAAACTGAACTTGGGGAGAATGCTAGGGTCCAGCTCAGCAGGAATCCCACAAAAACTGAACCTGGGGGCAAACCCCAGGGTCCAAGCCAGCAGGAACCCCACAAAAACTGAACCTGGGGGCAAACCCCAGGGTCCACCCCAGCAGGAACCCCACAAAAACTGAACTTGGGGAGAATGCTAGGGTCCAGCTCAGCAGGAATCCCACAAAAACTGAACCTGGGGGAAAACCCCAGGGTCCAACCCAGCAGGAACCCCACAAAAACTGAACCTGGGGGCAAACCCCAGGGTCCACCCCAGCAGGAATCCCACAAGAACGAGTTTCCCTATTCCCAGCTCCTGCTCCAAGGGAATGGGAGGATGCCCAGGTCGCGGCCTGGTGGGGCCAGCACTGCGATTCCCGCGGGGTCGGGCCCGGGAGCGGCTCACCCGTGGCCTGGTCCAGGCTCTCGCGGGACACGTGCTCGTTCTGGTGCACCCACTCCCCGTTGCACTTGAAGAAGATCTGCATGGCGGGCACGGCCCTGCAGCGCAGCACGATGGGGTTGCTCTTGATGATGTAGGAATCGTCCGGCTCCTCCAGGAAATGGGGCAGGGTCCCTGGCGCCGAGGGGATGGACTCGGGCAGGGCCTCGCTGTTCTCATGTCCTGCAAGGCAACAGAAGGAAATTCAGTTTTTTGTGGGTTTTCCATCACCTCGTTTTATTGCTGGAGTGAAAAATCAACTTAGGGTTTTGTTTAGGATCAGTTTTGGTCTGGGTTTTATTTAGGATTGATTTTGGTCTGGGTTTTATTTAGGATCAGTTTTGGTCTGGGTTTTATTTAGGATTGATTTTGGTCTGGGTTTTATTTAGGATCAGTTTTGGTCTGGGTTTTATTTAGGATTGGCTTAACTCCGGGTTTTATTTAGGATTGGTTTTATTCAGGATCGGTTTTGCTCTGGGTTTCATTTAGGATTTGTTTTGGTCCGGGTTTTATTTAGGATCAGTTTAACTCCAGGTTTTATTTAGGATTGGTTTAACTCCGGGTTTTATGTAGGATTTGTTTTATTCCGAGTTTTATTTAGGATTGGTTTTATTCTGGCTTTTATTTAGGATCGATTTTATTCCGGGTTTTATTTAGGATCAGTTTTACTTCAGGAACGCCTGCAGAGCTATTGGGTTGGGCTTTGAAAGGACACACACACACACAGAGAATAAAAAAATCAAATAATTGAAGTGTAAGGGCCGTCAAATTCCACAAAACAGCATCAAAACCACCAGAAAAGGGGTGGGGAACGGAGGTTCAGAAGCTGCAGGGTGTGAAGGGAGACGTTTTCAGAACTTCTCCTCATCCTCAGCTGCCATCAGGGGCCGGGGGCATTCCTTCAGGATGAGGAAGGTCCCTCAGTTCCCGAATTCCAGAGGCCCTGGGGCAGAGGCTTTGCCTTTGGAACAGCTGCCATCCACTCAAACCCAGGAAATTCCCATTGATCTCCGGCAGAGCTGGATTTATTTCAGCACTTTGCCTGCTTTTGGCAAAAATTCAGAGGAATGCGACGAATGTGGGTGAGAAGGGAACAATTCCTGCAGGAGGATCAGAGAGCACCGAGCGAAGCCAGGGAGGATAACAGTACACGTGTGAGGATGAAGGGAGCCGGGAGGGAACAGCTGAGGGCACGAGGGAGGTGATGGAACCCAAAGCAGCGGAATGAAGGCAGATGAGAGGGAAGTTGTGGTGCTGAGAAGGAAAATTGAACCCTTCCTTTGTCCAGGAGGTGACAGAACAACGGGAAAATATTGTTTATTAATATAGAAATATTTTATAACAGAAATAATAGAAATAAATCCATTATAATATTTTATAAATAATAGAAATACATATAAATAAATCTATTATAATATTTTATAATAGAAATATTATATTTCTGTTCAATCCCAGGAGCTGTCCCTCAGCACAGAGCTCTGTGTGTGCAAACAGTCCCCGAGCTGTGCTGGGAAATCACAGCCGCCTTCAAAGGCTGCAGTGCTCTCAGCCCCTTCTCAGGGTGCTTTGGAAAATACCATCACAACTCCAATGTTTTGCTCCCCACCACCGATGCCAATTTCCATCTTGTCAATCTTCAGCAGCGCTGCGTCCCTGCAGGTTTTATTCCATCCAAGTTTTGAAGGAAAGAACAAAAAATGTCTTTAAATTTTGGAGAGGTTGGGAAATCCCAGGCTCCCAGCAAGGCTCCAGCAGCCCTGGAGCAGAGGGAGAGCAGCAGCTGAGTCCGTGAGGATCCCCCAGCCAGAGAACTCCCGGTGACCCCGAGTTATTCCACTGGATTTGCTATTTAGGGCAAGGCACAGAGGAGGAAATCCCAGCCCCACCGAAAGCCAGGCTGGATTTCTCCTGGCAGGCTGTGCTTGGATGGTGAACCCTAGCTTTTTTTGGGTGTCAGGGAGATTGTGGAGCTGGGAGTGGCTCCCTCCCCGTGCAAACCTCTCACATGGCCAGGTAAACCCAGGTGCATTTTTTCCCTTCAGCATTTCCTTTGGAAATCCAAGCAGCACACACAAAAGCAGGAATGATTCCCTCTTGGGGTCTAGAGGTCAGGATGACCCTGAGAGTGCAAAAGTCCTCATTTCCCAGCCCGTACAACCAAAGAAGGAGTCGGAATGTGCAGGGTTGTCTTCTCAAGGCTGTTTATTTTCCCTTATCTAGAACATTCTTTCTCTGACCTGCTGAGCTCTGGCCAGCAGGTCAGTCTGTGACAGACTCCCACCCCCTTGGGCTGGTGTTACCAGTTTATACCAAAAACTGCGTGTGCCATGTTTGCAATAGCGTGCCAATATCTGTCATTTATGTTGGACAGTGTGTCTGTGCCTTAAACCAACAGAAAAGTGTCACCATCACAGCAAGACATGGAGGGCAAGGAGAAGGAGAAGAAGGTCAGGACACACCCAAATCCCTCCATCTTGTCCCCTTGAACCTCATTCTAGAAACCCCAAAATTCTACTTTTTCACCCTGCGTTAACTCAACTACCATACTGCTCAAACCCTTGTGGTCTGCAATTCCTCACACAGAGTTGGCAGCTTTTCCCACTGGCTAAAATCGAAGCCATGGGTGTTTTTGACTTGGTGCCAAGGTCTGCGAGCCCCTGCCAGGGTCTGGAGCCAGCCAGGGCAGCCAGAGGTGTGTGCTGGGTTCCCACAATTCCCCATCCCCTCACACTCACAGATATTTCTGTGGTTTACACACAGAATTTTCTGGATTCCCACTTGCAGGACATTCCTGCTCAGGTGGAATCAGCACAACATTCCTGGATAAATAACATTTTCCCATTTGCCTGCAGGAGCGTCTCCCAAAGTGCCCTTAATCCTCAGGATTTCACCTCAACTCCTCTTCCTCTTGTGATCACCTCTGTTTTGCCCTAACTGGAATTCCTGATTGCAAATCCCCAAGGTTTTCCATGTCAGTTTTTGGGATTCAGTCCCTTCAGAGCTACCAAAAAAAAAAAAAAAAAAAACCCACAACAAACCCCAATCTTTTGTAGCAGCAGCAAATGACAGAAGAACAAAGCCTGACACACAATTCTTGTGGGTTTCATTCCTGGCAAATTACCTTTCAGGAAGGGTTTTGTGTTTTATGCTCTGCACGCGAGGCCAAAAGGGACTTTAAATCTTTTTATGACAATAATAGAAATGAAAAAGAAAGGAGGGGGAAAAAAAGTTAGGAACAAACATTAAATTCGTCTCTGAAATAAACACACTGCCTTTGTCAGAACACATCAGGAGATCTGGACAGCAGCAGGCAGGGATGAGTCAGTATTTCAAAACTGATTAGGATAATTTAGATGCTAAAATGAGATCTTAAACCAGTGAAAAACTGTGAGTTCTGAACTTTTTTTTTTAAATGAAGAATTATTAAAAGTGAGCAGCCTTATTCTTTTTGCATAAAAAAAAAACCCCAAAAGTTAAAGTGCCCTCAACAAGCCAAGTAAATAATGATAAGTGCAAATTAATCTGGCAATAAATTGTGCAGAGACTTTTCCCAAGTGTCCAAACAGAACTTCTGTTACACTTTGTGGCGCCAGAAAAACAAAGCTCTAAAAGTCCCAAACGGGGCTGAATTCCCCTCTTTGATCCAGCAGCTGGGATCAGAGAGAGCTCTTTTCCCTCTCTGCCCTGAATCTGGGATTTCCCTCTCTCTGCCAGGAATTTGGGATTTCCCTCTCTCTGTGCAGGATTTGAGGTTTTCTCTCTCTCTGCCCAGGGTTTGGGATTTCCCTCTCTGCCCAGGATTTGAGGTTTTCTCTCTCTCTGCCAGGGATTTGGGATTTTCCTCTCTCTGCCAGGGTTTGGGATTTCCTTCTCTCTGCCTGGTGTTTGGGATTTCCCTCTCTGCCCAGGATTTGGGATTTCCCTCTCTCTGTCCGGGATTTGGGGTTTCTCCCTCTCTGCCCAGGGTTTGGAATTTTCCCTCTCTCTGCCCAGGGTTTGGGATTTCCCTCTCTGCCCAGGTTTGGGTTATTCCCTGATTTATGGGACTGCCCTGAAGCAATTCCTTCTGCAGGGTCACAGGAGCCACTCCCACATAAAAACATTCCCAGTTCCCTCCAAGCTCCTTGTCCCACTCAGGAATTCCTCCCGCTCTGCCCCCTCTTCCAAGCCCCCTAAATTGATAAATGCTGGCAGAACACGGGGTTATTCACTGCTGCTTTGGATGTTTGCTGCCCCAAGCCAGAAGGATAAAGCCTTTTCCCAGCTGGAACCATCCCAACCCCTCCTTTGAACAGGTCCATCCAAGAGCAGAAACACAACTGGAGATGGCCATTAATCCAAATATTCCCATTCCTCCCTTTCCATGTGTTCAACCACCCTGATCCCTGCAGGACTTTAAACCCCTGCAGCCAGGATTTCCTCCAGCACCAAATAAATTCAAGTGTCAGCTTGCCAGGGAAGCCAGGAGATGGAAAAATAAAAAAATGTTCCAGAATAGAGAATTTCCTCATGCCTGGAATGGTTTCCATGATGAAATTTGAGTCATTGTTCAGTCAGGAAAGCAGCTCAGTGAGATTTGCCTACATTTGCTTCATCAGATGACCCCGGCCCCCACACACAGTGGGATTTTTGGAAGGCGCTCAGAAATGGGTGGGAATGGCAGATTTTGTTGCCCACATGAAATCCTTTATTGTCTCTGCTGTCTGCCCTGATTTGCTGAGGGCCCAGGACAGGGTACTTAGCAAAGCCTGAATGGGAGAGGCAGGAACAAATCCTGAGGAGCTCTGTTGGGGAAGATGAAATAGGAAAGCCTTATAAATATGATTGCCTGGCAAAAGATTTGGAAAAAGCAGGAACTATAAATGAGATTGAAATGAGAACAAGCTTTGAGATACCAAACCTTGGTCACTAAACAACTAGAAAACAATAGTATAGCTGTAGGCAATCCCCCCTTTGATTGAACAATGCCCTCCACCTACAGACAGGTCCAAGGGTCAGATGGAATGCTCTGCCTCATCCCTCAAAATGTATGGTTCATCTGTAACCCTCCCCTGAAGCATCAGGTATCTGTAACCCCATTGGCCCAAGTCTTATTCCACGCCCACTTTGAAGCCCCCTGATAAGGTGTGCCCGGGGGACTAGACGCACTCTTGGCATCCTCTCCTGCTCCTGCTGTCTCTCTC